GACTATGGGGGATGGGGAGGAGACAAAACTGATTGATGCAGGCATGAACCAGGCAGGCAGAAAGGATTATTAGTATTTGGTGGAACATTGATCTAGCTACTAGCACCACCCCACAACCCAAGTTTGATCTACTGTTGAGTTACTGTTGAGTGGCTAGAACTCTCCATTGCTAATGCTAATGTCCCACTGTTCTGTCTGAGTCCTCTCCCTTTTTACAGTGATAGAAAAACATAAAAGTCCTGTCAAGGACAAGATGTTCACGCAGCACCTAAATGTTTTAGGATGCAAGCAATAGTGTTACTAAATGTCTACCCAATGAATTGCTTCCTGGTAGGTCAGAGGGTCCGTGCAGCAGCCTGTGGAGTCATTGCCCTAGACTGGATTGGATGAATCCTCATCAAGCGTGTCAGCTCCACTGCAGAGAAATCGATGTGTACTGGGTCTTGATGAGATACTACTCCCTGTGTTTTCCATTTTCCAGTATGCTTTCAGGTCAGACCCCATCAACTATGAATTACATTGCTTTCGGTCAGCTGCATGTGGCGCACACAGAAATCAATCACCATATTTTAGAAGTCTCTGGATTAAACGACTGAAAGTTTCACATGTATAAGGCTTTTGTTTATATGGAAAGGAGGGATTACTCTAACCCAATGGGATACACACTGTTTATCTAACCCCGAAGAATTTACAAGTTGGCAAGAATCAAGGCTTGTTAGAGTTTAACCAGTAAAAACATAGCCTACTATTACCTAGCATTGATAAGCTTCCTATGGCTTGACCAAATGGGACCGCTATACCTGTTAGGGTTGTGGTTTGCAGAATTATATGCAGCCGAGTGGACAATGTCCCAGCCCGAAATGACAGATCTATTCCTTCCAGTTCTGCCAATAAGCCAGTCTAACCAGTCCATCATCAACAATACCCTGGATTACTGTGGACCTGACTGTCTCTCATACCAGACTACTGAGTCTGCCACAGAGGATCAAGTATAATCTTCTATTGTCAGGTACGTCAACTTGGAGCTAATACAGGCCCCAGAGAGAAACTGCTTCACCATCTGAGAATTTTCACCTTTAAAAATTCCTTTTGGAAAATTGAGCCAAGGTCAACTTTGGCAAAACATACAACCTGCCTCATGACACGAGCAGTCTGAAACATATCAGGATATATTCAATAGTTTGAAAAGATGTGGATGGGCTAATCAGAGTTAGCACTGACAGCAGTGATGCGAAAGTAGATATTAATCAACTGATTCAAATTACATTTAGATTAATTAGATACTACTTTCCACTTTTCTGTATTATTTTAGAATTGGTGATGATGCATTGTTGGAGATGAGGTCCTTCAGATGAAGCATTAAACCAAGGTCCCATCTGCATGTCCATGTGAATGTTATAAATTCAATGCCATTATAAAACAATAAGCATTGCATTTGATATGTGCCTCATGACATTGTAGAAATGTCTCAAAGCGCTGCCACTGGATTTTTGCTGTGAAGTGTAGTAACTGTATTTGCAGGCAAATGCAACAGTCAATTTGCACACATAAATAACCCACAAACCCACAAACTTAGACTTTTATTACATATTATTTGAAAAGAGAAGGGAGGTTGTCCTAGTATGCTAGCCAACAATACTCTTTTCCACCGTATACACAATGGGCCAAATGGATTTTTTCTGTGCTGTAAATTTCTAGGGTTCTATAGATACACAATTAATCATTGACTGTAGTTGTCAGTAAAATATTATTGTGGGCAAACTGGCTTCACATTCACCTACAAATACAGCAACTACACTTTACAGAAAAGTATTTTGAGGTGTTTCAATGGGATAAGGTGCTCTATCACATACAACTAAAAAAAAATTAATAATGATCAAATGGATTATACGATTGAGGGAAAATGGAGTCCTGTAGCTCAGTGGTTAGACAACTTGCCTTGCAAGCGATACACCTGGGTTCAATTCCAGGCAGGGTGAAACCTTAGGCAAGTTTCCTTGCTCCACACACCTAATAATAATCCCTCCAAAAACAAAAACAATAATAAATTGGTCATTTTCAATCCACGACTGTTTGTGGGACCCTCTGTGCGCAATTGGCATGAGAACGTTATAGTACTTAAAAGAACCCTTTCTTTGTTCATCATTTAACTAAGGCTCAAACACTGGAAACAAACAAGTCAAGCACTCTCAGGATTCGATTTGTACAGTTATAAGGATTAAAGATCATACTCAATTTTTCCTGCTTCAAAGTGTTTTGAAGTATTTTTCCCAGCACCCAAAATCTCAAATTTGGACTTATAATGAGCTTCAGATCCTATAAATTTAAACTCAATTTAAATTGCTGCATATGGACAGAAACTAATATTTTACTTTAGAAGATTTTTTTTCTCATCAAAGGATGTTAATGCCTGGTACTTCTCTTGTAGCTGGAGAGCCAGATATTGGCCACCTGTGCCCAGTGATACATACATTCAATGCATTTATCCATTTCCATTTTTTTTATGTAGTTTAAAAACTGCCATTATTATCACTCACACAGCCAGATTTTAGACCCTCTGAAATCAAACGCAAACTTATATTCTGAATTTATCCAAATACTCACTCACCCTTAGAACTTCCTTATTTAGCGCATAATTCTTGCTAAATTTAGATGACTTGCAAATCCTGCATTTTAATGGTATTAAAGTCACCATAGATCAAATGGACTATTAAAATAAATGCAATTGCTTTCCCATCCATTTGAGCATTAGCAAGGGTCATACGCTTGACCAGTGCATCCTCACGGATGGAAGAGTTGATATCTATTATTAATTTTTAAGGTAAGGACATTAACATCTGATAAGTGGAGTTAATAATCTGTGATATCGATATGTAAATGTCTGGCCTAACTTCATTGATGCACTCATCTCTTTCTGTCACTGCATGTACAAACAGTAACAGCAGAATTCTAATTCTACTCATCTACCAGTCAGCTGAGAACGTCCTTAAACTCACAAATCACGTGGCAGCATCTTCAATGCTAATGCCTTTGGGGAGTATTTTATTCGAGAAATTAGATGCATGTATTTTTCATGTGTGAGCTGATCTATCACATCAGCACATCAGGGTTATGGATGATGTTGTTGCAATGTGCTTATAATACTAATACTAACTATTATACTAATAATAGTATTGAAGTGGTGGAGTGTGATGTGAAAAAAAACAATTTTAGAAAAAAATAAGTTATTATCCTTTTTGTAAAGATCCTGGTATTGACTTTCATTGTAAAACTGTTCAGGATCTGAAATGTCTCAGCTACCCTTTTTAAAACATTGATCTTAAAATCTAGGCTGATATTCCAGTACAGTGCTGGGGGAAGTGCTACCTTGTTGGAAGTGATGTTGAATGATATCTTAAAACGAGAGTACTGCTTGCCTCCAGATCGCTGTTATAGATCCTGTGATTCGATATGAAAAGTTTTCTGAGAAAAAACAATCCACTATGTTAATTTCCTGATTTTCCTTATGGTAGTTTATGCTGGAGCAAATTAGCCATTGTTTTTAACCCACAAAAGACAGTTCCTACATTTAACAGCAATGCACTTTGAGACATTTTGATGTAATAAAATGCAATAAAAATGCAATTATCTTTACAATTTCATCCACGTCTGATATACTTATTTATTTAATGTCTTATAATGGTTTAGAAGGAAACAAACAAACATGGAGTTTCAGATTAGCATCCCCTTAGGAATATTTAGCTTCCATATAAGCAGTGCTTTGTCTCTGGTATAAAAAGGGCAACAGTCCATAGTTCTAATAATAGTGATTTAACACTTAATTTCAATCGTGTTGAAATGGTTTAGCCACTGCCTGAGTAATGGAGATCAAGACTTTCTCAAATTTGTGAGATTAGTCATTCTGTGCTGTGTAAACTGATATCAGCTGTAGTAAACAGTTGACCCCAAAGACCATATTTTTTTGGGGAGTAAAACGTTGCCTGGATTCCAGTTTCTGAGAGTTATCTAGTGACCCCTGCTGACATGTGCATGTGTGCGATGTTGGGTGGGGATAGGATGAGTGTTAATTTCACAGTTAATGTCGTCTGTCAACATTCCCAGTCTAGGATCAGGCATCAAAAATGGTCACATGGGCAAGACACCAGATGGTGGCTGGTCCCATAGAAACACCCCTCAGACTGACAGCATAATTCAGCACCCTTAGGAAAGGAGAGGTGAAATTAGAGAGTGTGAAAAACATCAAGATTGTACCACTCATACAAATTTAAAGCCCCGGTGTGTAAATTAAGGCAGAGTTTGAGTGCCATTAATCTTCCAAATCATTTGTGATGCTTACTGCTACCATATTGATTGACATTTACATACAGAATTCTTTTGATTACCAACCAGATATTCCTGCTGAGTGTATCGCTTTCAAGCTACTGTGGTGAATGAAAGTGAGATTTTTGAAATGTAGACGGAAAATGCATATGATGAACTCTGCTGCAAAATACTAAAGTTTCAACAAAACCACTTTAGCCAGACTTCTGTGCAGGCATGTAAAAGGGAAATTGAACCATTCTACTAATGCAGTGATGGATGACCCGTGGTTGCATGTTCTACATTGAGCAAACATTGTTGAAGTAATATAGAAATCTGACCATAACGTATCAAATACTATTGTTAATTACAAAGAAGATACATTAACCTTCTCAAGCAATGAATCAGGATATCACCATTTACTAAAATATGATACCATAACAGCTTTTGCAGGAATTTTTATTGTTTTCCAGTGTAAAGCAACAAGAAAACATTTAATGTCCTTTGGTGGAATCTTATTACACTTTCCATATATGTAAACTGATATTCTTTGATGCCAGCACGTTGCAAATACAGAGGAATCTCTGCACAATAAAATAAAACAAAGAAAATAAATTGTAGAATTCTGCTAATTGCTCAGAATCATACAGTTAACATATATTCATCAACACAAATCAGTATTAATACAAAAAACTACATCTTACATTATTTTATTCCAAGAAAATAACTTCATTTTAATACAAAAAGAATCAATAAATGCACTAATGTTCTATGATCACCTTGTCAGGAGTTTTCCTGCATCGGACCGATGCAGTGTCATTAGATATACAAGAATATGATAGGAGAATAGATCTCATAGGGAAAAGGGGGGGAGGGGGAAGGAGGGGGCTATTACACAAGTGCACCACTACTTAAGACAAATAGATCGTCCAACCAACAAGGGTTACAGAGCAACGTTCACTAAAGCACAGGTTGAAGGGCAGGATCGAAGTCAGCCAACAGGCAGACTCTTGATTTCCTTATACCACAATGCACTGACAGCAAAGAATGCCAGCAATTGCTCAGTCCGCACTCAGAGCAATGTCTAAGAGTAGTACAGCCACTGACATCCTCTGTGTTCTCAAAGCTGTATATCCAGTGAAAGCCTTGCAGCTGGACTTGTCATAGCAGTATTAATATTAGCAGCTGCCAACCAGTCAGAAAACACAGTCTTGACTAAATTCTCTCAGGGGATCGATAACTACAGTATGGCTTGGTTTGCTCAGGCCTCGATTAGCATTTTTCTGGTACAGTGCCTTATAAGATGTAAATGCTCAATTTTCCTTTGCTGTTTTGTTGCACATTCCCTTAAGCAGCCTGAACTTGAAGCCAGTTGACCACTCGTGTTTAAAGTGTTAGAAATCCGGTAACAGCAGGTAGCAGTGCAGTCAGCAACAGTAGAACGTTGTGTGATGCTGGCCCTTGGGCTGAATTTGAGCTACAACCGCCCACGCCCTTTTCGCATTTGCGCTTCTCACAGAGCACACCAGTATAAGTAGCCGGGCACTGGCATCTCCTATGGTCCAGGCACTTTCCTCCATTCTGGCAGAGCATCAGCTCGTTGTCACAGACATTGGCTGAAAGAGTCCAGAGAAAAAAACAAGATGAGTACATTATTACACTGGTGGAATGGTTTCCTTTAGCGGACGATCCATTATATTTGGAATTTCTGAGTCTAAGAAAATTGGTTATCAATTTATTTCCCCAACTCATTCTTACTCTGTCAGGCACATAACTCTGAATACTTCAGTTATAAGTTCAACTCCCAGATCGTCTGGTAATTGTAGACTAAGTTTACTTAGTTGGTTTAGCCTTGTTCATTCTAAGCTGAACAGCGCACACAAGTGAAGCTTTCATTCCTGAACCTATCACCCAACAGCAGAAGAGTTATAGGTAATGATTATGCTGAGCTCTACACTCTGACTGGATTGTAATATTCGGTAGCCAACAACTGATAATAAATAATAATTAATTTACCTTCTCTCCCCTGTTTGCCCTTTTTAGAACCTTTACTTAACTGGAATGATGGGTCAATGAAACTTCACAAATGACTGACATTCCTCAGCTCTGAAACACAATCAATTCCATGGAATGAGGTAGCATCAATTTTTTTGTATTACACTGTTGCTAAACACCTTATGCAGCAGGACAGGTCGCTTGGAAATGCTTTACACTTTAACTGAATATACATCACCACACCGTAAACAGCTGAATCTATGTCCCTATTTGTCCAAGGTTTACCATTCATCCCTTCCCTTGGTCAACACTACTCATACCCAATACTGGCCAAGAGGGAGACAGATTCCCAATGATTACCTCAGCATCTATTTTTCTAGGACAGCCAGCAGGAGAGCACGATGAGGCAAAAAAGATAGCATAGCTTTTACTAATGGTAAAATTCCTCATCTAATAATAACTCAGATGAAGATATATGAAATCCAATATCAATATTGGCTGTGAGGTTATAATGACAATAACTACTAGGATGAGCAAATATTCAGATCTGAAATAGACCATTATTAAGTCACATTAATCTGTTTGGCCTCAAATATTTTCTAAAGGAGAAGACGGTGGTATTTCTTTCAGAAAGTAAAACTGCATCAAAGCATTTTCTTTGCAGTCATATTTTTTCAAACTAAAAAAAAGTAAATTGCCTAAGGAAACTTTAAGTACATAAAATCAAAAGTTCATGAAAAAAAGTGTCAAATCTGAACTGTTTGTTCATCTGCAGCTGAGATGGACCACACCAAGAATTAAAAACAAAAGGAGGTTGAAATAAAGTAGGAGACAATACTTCATTCTTCGTGATATTGTTTTTGTGCAGCTCTGTAAAAAGAAATATTGGTAAAAAGCATCGGAAATCACATCAGGCAATTTTTTTCTAAAGCTATTTCACAGCATCTTATACGGTATTACTTGCAAAATATATGTTGATAGTACAGAACCACACTGCTACAACTGAAAAGCCATATTTTCCTATGTTTGCTTTGAAGATAATATTACCTTCCTTGAGAAACTGCTATATTTCTTGGTTTTGTTTGGTTCCAATGTTTCATAGTTTACGATTACAATACAGTTCAAGAAACGTGCAATGCAGTGCTATTCCATCACTGAATCTGCTTTCCATGAGCCTTGGATTAGATCAACATTTGTACTTATACTGTTACTGAGCATGGCTTGGATATTTCACTAGTTCGTAATAATTGGATTTACTAGGGTCTTTTCTGGACTTAACATAGAGAAATTCTGAGGTAAGGCTTGTTAGACATCCCTTTGCTCTGAATCGTAAAACCAGCATCTTAAGTAGGGTATTTGACCATTAGTTCACCACTACAAAATCACAGACACTTAAAAAGGATTTTGATTTGAATTTAATCATTTTTATTATGCTTCGAATCATGCTGTTGCTGTTGCTGGAGAGATCCATGTCAGAGCAGAACTAAGATGTGTCAGACAGCTGGCTGACCAAAATCAAACACTGTAAAGCCTCCTGCTTGTATGGTGCAATCCAGAGACACCCTGAAGAGGATCTTGCCACAGGTCTCCTGCTTCTCTGTCACACGGTCAGTGCTGTGGAGCTCAGATTCTGTGTCCTATGGGCAGAATTGGGCTCTGCGTGGCCCGTGCTCCTTGTTCACCGGAAATGTTGATGGCTCCTTAGAATGAAATGACTGAACTTGATACAAAAGCATTATCTGTGGTGACATAAAAGGCAGTTTACAGTATTGGACTTCAGACTATATACCAACCATAAGTTTACGATACCACGATATAACAACCACTAGCATTACAGTGTTGTAAGGCACTTATTTTTGTGGAGGTTAGGAAACTGGTTGGGGAAGCAGGCCGTTGGATTCAAGGATCTACAAGGGTTTACTTACTTTGATTCATGCCAAATGTGTTATAAAAAGCTTCAGGGACATTGCCGATATATATTATTTAGGAGTACAACAGACAGCAAATATTATATCACTTACCGGAATCAGCAGCAGACTCTGCTGATGACGTGCTATCTTGAAAGAGTTGAGTTATAATCTTCTCAGGCTTTGAAAGATGTTTTCTCAGTGCCCTGTGGCTTTTTCTGTGCAGCTGATGGCTATTCTCTACTGTAATAAAAACACAAACTGCTGGAAATGCACAGCAGGTCAATCATCATCTGAAAGAGAAAGACAGGCTAACCTTTCAGATATGATCTTTCATCAGATCTGAAGACGCTGAGCTGGAAAAGCCCCATTATAAACATGGGCAAGTCAGACCCTGGTTTTACATTTTTTGAATTATTCGCTTTCCTGGTAACATTTAAAACCAAAATGGGGCCCAATGGAAGCAAGTGTTAGTAGGTTGTGAAAGAGGTGTTTATGATATTAAGGAAATGTCCACAACAATCAGATATAGATACATTCCATTGTTTAGTTAGTCTGGTCAATTTACGCTTCACAATTCTAGAAGGATCTTTTGCTCGAGGTACTTGTCTGAGTTTGAAACGTTAGCCAGTCTTTCTCTTTCAGATGCTGATTGACCTGTAATGCACTTACAGTGTTTGAGTTTTTCTTTTTGCTGCTTTCTCTTCTGTATTGAATCCTATCTGGAGTCATCCTTTTAAGGTCTTGACTTATTTTCAATAAGCATTCCCTGTGGGCCTTGGACTTTGCCAGTTTAATGCCTTGTGTTTTCTTATAGTCTTCAGCTGTGGGTAAACTGAATACTTTCCAAAGATGCATCTTTTCAGTTTTGTATTAGTAAGACAAATTGTTCCATTTCAGTTCAGAAGTACAGGCTGTGCCATCATTTTCTACTTGTGTCACCTTCAATGTTACACATGGCTTTCCTGAGCATTGGACAATTTCCACTTTCCACTTGTTAGAGCAAAGAATCTGAACAACTGTAAGTAACAGCTGCTTTACCATCTTCAACAAATTAAGAAGCCTGCCTGCCTAAGAACTTTTAAGAAACTATTTTCAAATGTCAAAGAATCATAGAATTTCCATTTTGCCTATAATATGTAGTCACTAAACTTTCTAGATTATCCTATTCAGGGCTTTGGGACGTCCTCTTCATGTGAAAGGCACAGTATCAAACACATGGATTATTATTACTATATCTGCGCTAATTCTCACTCCCCTGACCTTTTATATTTATTTCAATTTATAAATATTTATTCTGTTGAAACTATCATGGATTCTGCTTCAAGCAAGATATAAAACAACATGAATGTTGACTCCTCAAAACTGGATAACATAAGAAACTAACATGAATAATGGGATCTTGAACATGTGCTTTGCTGACTTTGTGCAGATCTTTATAGCCTCAGCCAATGTCATTGTGGAGTCCTGTAGCTCAGTGGTTAGACCACTCGCTTTGCAAGCGAGACACCTGGGTTCAATTCCAGGCAGGGCAAAACCTTGGGCAAGTTTCATTACTCCACACATCTAACAATAATCCCTCCAAAACAAAAAACAATAATAAATTTACCATTTTCAATCCACGACTGTTTGTGGGACACCACTGTGCGCAATTAGCTGCCGCGTTTCGCCCACAAATATACGGTCAATTCACTTTACATTATATTCTGTGAAGCGCTTTGAGACATCTAGAAGACGTGAAAAGTGCTATATCAAATGCAAGGATTACTACTATAATTGTAGGACATACAGAAATCAGCCTTGCATCGCCACATCACTTTAGCCTCTGGAAGTAATATGACTTACCTTCTGCCAGTCCACACTGAGTGTCAGGAAATTCAGCTACTGAACTGATTACATTCTCATTTTTATTCAATGAGGACTTCAGAGCAACAGCAGTGGTAATCCACTTGGGATTTTCACCATGTGAAAACAGATTTGATTTCATGCTTGCAAATGCATATGTAACATTTACAGTCGTTACCCCCAAAAGTGTGTTTCCGTCACTCTACTTATTTCGCACTGCTATCCTTTAACCTCCAGGTTAAAAACAAAATAATCCAAAGGTTACCACCGTAATCTTCGTGCATCATTTATTAGTTTTGTGTCTGGAGATTAATGTGTCCGAAACTGTTGGTTTGACTATTGGTGCATGTTACTGGATGTTGAATAATCTTTCCAATTATTTATTTCTCACACTTGATAGCCAAGATAACTAGTACAAAATGTCAGGCCTTTGGGGGCATTCAGGAAAAGGGTAAATTCAGGAAACCTGTTCCTTGCGGCATGTTCAATTTGTATCAGTAAAATGTTTAGATACAATCTATAACTCTTCAGATTCTCTGCACAAGGCAAGACTGCTGCTAAGTATGTGATGATTTCTTGATTTAAAAAAAGCAAGAAGAAATCCTGCTGCTTTGTGTACAAGGGTAAGAGGCAAAACTGAAGCATATCGTAAAATCAATTTAAATAACTATCAACAATTATAATTTTAAAAGTTTATGCTTAATGCAACATGCTGGAAACGTTTATATTTTCACTCGAGTTTAGGGAGTAAAATTTGCTAGGTTTCATAATGTAAGGATGGACGCATTAAGAAATGCCACACAATTTCCCCCCCATTTACACTGTGAGTTTTGTATAAAAATTCTATTACCATGTAGGATATTTATGGG